TTTTTTTTTAATTTTATTTTTTATAAACATATAATATATTTTTATCCCCAGGGGTACAGGTCTGTGAATCGCCAGGTTTACACACTTCACAGCACTCACCATAGCACATACCCTCCCCAATGTCCATAATCCCACCCCCCCAACCCCCCTCCCCCCATTAACCCTCAGTTTGTTTTGTGAGATTAAGAGTCACTTATGGTTTGTCTCCCTCCCAATCCCATCTTGTTTCATTTATTCTTCTCCTACCCCCTTAACCCCCCATGTTGCATCTCCTCTCCCTCATATCAGGGAGATCATATGATAGTTGTCTTTCTCCGATTGACTTACTTCGCTAAGCATGATACCCTCTAGTTCCATCCACGTCGTCGCAAATGGCAAGATTTCATTTCTTTTGATGGCTGCATAGTATTCCTTTGTGTATATATACCACATCTTCTTTATCCATTCGTCTGTTGATGGACATCTAGGTTCTTTCCATAGTTTGGCTATTGTAGACATTGCTGCTATAAACATTCGGGTGCACGTGCCCCTTCGGATCACTACGTTTGTATCTTTAGGGTAAATACCCAGTAGTGCAATTGCTGGGTCATAGGGTAGTTCTATTTTCAACATTTTGAGGAACCTCCATGCTGTTTTCCAGAGTGGTTGCACCAGCTTGCATTCCCACCAACAGTGTAGGAGGGTTCCCCTTTCTCCGCATCCTCGCCAGCATCTGTCATTTCCTGACTTGTTAATTTTAGCCATTCTGACTGGTGTGAGGTGGTATCTCATTGTGGTTTTGATTTGTATTTCCCTGATGCCGAGTGGTGTGGAGCACTTTTTCATGTGTCTGTTGGCCATCTGGATGTCTTCTTTGCAGAAATGTCTGTTCATGTCCTCTGCCCATTTCTTGATTGGATTATTTGTTCTTTGGGTGTTGAGTTTGCTAAGTTCTTTATAGATTTTGGACACTAGCCCTTTATCCGATATGTCATTTGCAAATATCTTCTCCCATTCTGTCAGTTGTCTTTTGGTTTTGTTAATTGTTTCCTTTGCTGTGCAAAAGCTTTTGATCTTGATAAAATCCCAATAGTTCATTTTTGCCCTTGCTTCCCTTGCCTTTGGCGATGTTCCTAGGAAGATGTTGCTGCGGCTGAGGTCGAAGAGGTTGCTGCCTGTGTTCTCCTCAAGGATTTGGATGGATTCCTTTCTCACATTGAGATCCTTCATCCATTTTGAGTCTATTTTCGCGCACACACATTTTTTAAATCCATCCATTGATGGACATTTAGGTTGTTTCTGTAGGATTTTGTTGTCTTTTTTGTTCTAAGTTGTTGCCATCCTTGCTTAAGTTAATATGGTATTCATACTTTCATTATCTGTGATACCCTTTTATATGTTAAGATTTTGATTTTGTCACTTATTATAAATAATTTCCCAGTTTGTGCTTTTTAATTGTTTTCCCCCTGCTTAACAAGAGAGGAGATTAGTGGGTAATTATTTTGCAAATTTTAAAGTTTTGTATGTTTATACTTTTAGTTTGTGAAGATTTAATTTTAACATTAAGAATCTAAAAATTTGCTTTGAAATAATTAAGAAAAACTATATATTCTTTCATTGCAGATTTGGGACTTGGCTAGTGGCAAATTAAAACTGTCATTAACTGGGCACATTAGTACAGTGCGTGGTGTGATAGTAAGCACACGGAGCCCTTACCTGTTCTCCTGTGGAGAAGACAAACAAGTCAAATGCTGGGATCTCGAATATAATAAGGTAAGTTTGGAGTTAAGGATTTAAAACATTAAGAACTACTGGTTTTCTTTATAGATATTTTAACTCTCCTGCTTTATTTTTAGGTTATAAGACACTATCATGGACATCTGAGTGCAGTGTATGGTTTGGATTTGCACCCAACAATTGATGTGCTGGTGACCTGTAGTCGGGATTCCACTGCACGGGTAAATGGAATAGAGCTTTGTGTTTCTTTGTAAACATATTGCATCTTACACTATGCATATTTGGTTAGGGAGTCGTATATTATTTGTTGGAGTATTAAAGATAGTTGTCTTCACCAGCAGTAACCCAGTCCCTCAGTTTCTTGGCATGTATGTTTTTCTACCTTTATTTTCAGTGCTGTGGCTTCATCATGTTTATTATTGGGAGTGCCCTGCCTCTGAAGTAGGACACTCACGCATTCTATTCCATCACTGCAGTAGTTTCCATTAGCTCTTTCCTTAAGTAGTCTCATTATGCCCATTCTTAACACTTTCCACTTTCAGTACCCTGATCTTTTAGTTGTTTTTTTTTTTTTCCTGTCAGCTGCCTCCAGTCTACATTCCCCATCCAGCTTACATATCATTATCTTTTCTTTGAAATGATTTTTCATTCCATTCAGGCATGGTTGTCTGGTAAATTCCCAGCCTTGAATTGGTCCAGTTACCTGCCCAAGACATGAATACCTGTTCTCTCTGATGGTATGTCTCTTGTGTTTTTACAGATTTGGGATGTGAGAACTAAAGCCAGTGTACATACGTTATCTGGACATACCAATGCAGTTGCTACAGTGAGGTGTCAAGCTGCAGAACCACAGATTATTACTGGTATAATTGATACTGTCTAAGTTTACAGTTTGATCAGAATGCATTATGATTATACGTTACACTTTTCATATTCACTATGACTCTTGCTCTGTTACAGAGGTACATTGTATTTGATTGTTTTTATCTCATATTCTTTACATTTCATAGGATATATTTACCTATCATAGACTATGTCATACACAGTGTCATGTAATGTCTGACTAGAAAATGGTGCTGTGAGACACATTCAGACATTGTTTCATAGTATCAAAATTACTAGTCTAGGAAACAAACTAAAAGACAAAATACCCAGAGACCAATAACCTTTAGAGCTGGTTTGAGTCTTGCTTTGCTAATGGTAAGATTAATAATAGATCTTTACTCTAAGAGTAGAAAATAATTTCTTCACTTGATGTATTTTGTTAATTAAAAATCATTTGTTTTTTTCCTTCCCCTATCATGAGGGGAACTACTGGTGTTCTAGCTGTTCAGTTGACAGTGTTTTAAGTACTTACTGTATTTTTTTTAAGCATTAAATTTAAAACCAACCTATAAGTTTGGAACTGTAAAGTAATGAGCCAGGAGTTGGTATGACTTTCATGTAGTATGTATGTGTCTATGGAAAACTCATTCATATGTTATGTTTAATTTTTGCATAATTTTTCTTGGTCTATATTTTGTGGATGTGTGTTTTCATTACAGGAAGCCATGATACTACAATACGATTATGGGATTTGGTGGCTGGAAAAACAAGAGTCACATTAACAAATCACAAAAAATCAGTCAGGGCTGTGGTTTTACATCCAAGACAGTAAGTACATTTTCTTAATTAGCTTGTCTTTTTTCTTCCATTTTTAGAATAAGTATAGAAATACCAACATTAGTGCTACTTTGGTAGCTGTTTAGCTATTGTCATTTCCAGGCCTGTGCCACTTACGAACATGGATTTCTTTCATTTTTCTTGTGTAGTATTTTGCTTCATGACCTATATATAATGAGGGAAATTTTCCACAAGGTGAAAAATGAGAGAGTCAGATGAGACCATATAAATAAATCATGGCTAAAAGCTGCATGTCAAAGTAGAGGCTAATAGAAGATGGATTTAGTGTTTGACAGAAATGTTATTGGATACTGAGATATACATAGAATAGTTTAATTCTTAAGGAGGAAGTTAGTATACATAGAAAAAAAGAGTAGGAACCCTGAACATTATAATCAGGGTGTCCATAGAGGTGGAGCATAAGATCTCAATCTGTTCCTTGTATCACATCACCCTGACACTTTTCTGGCCACATTGATTTTTTTTTCTGTCCTCCCTCTCCCTCTTATCCATTATTTCCTTCCTCCCTTTCTCTGTCTTCCTCACTCCCTTTCTTCCTCTGGTTCACTTCCTTTTTCTCTCTCTTCCTCTTGCCCTCTGTTTCTTCCATTCATTTCCTTTCTTCATAGAGTCCCCTCTCGCTCTCTTGCTCTGTCCAGAATAGTTTCATAACCCCTTGCCCTTAATGTGAATCTAGAGGTTTGTACATTTGTTGCTTTAGCTCAGTGGAGAGCATTGGAGAAAGGAGAAAGATTAATCTAGGACTTAAAATACATTAAAAATAATTTGAAGATCTGATTTAACTTGGAACAAATGTCTTTGTATTTTACCTCTTGGTATGACAATAATATTTTGCTACAACTATATAGATCCATAACTACACACGTAGAATATAACCATAAAAAGCTTTCTGAATTTACCATTTTACTTAACTTGGTTTACTTAGTCGTGAATTCTTTTTCATCTTACTTCAGTTACACATTTGCATCTGGTTCTCCCGATAATATAAAACAGTGGAAATTCCCTGATGGAAGTTTTATTCAAAATCTTTCCGGTCATAATGCTATTATTAACACATTGACAGTGAATTCCGATGGAGTGCTTGTTTCTGGAGGTAAAGTAAGATTTTAATAATAAATGTGTTTTAGTTTGTCATTTTTTCTTTTAGTAAATGAGTAAACATTTATAAAATTTCTAAGCCATCCCACCTAAGTATTATAGCCGAACTTGCCTGATTAATGTGTATTTGGTTGTTCCCATGTGTGTTCATGCATGTTTGTGATACATGCAGCATATTTCATAGTTTAGTCTTCTTTGAGTTCCCACGTGATAAATCTAACCTATTCATGCTGAGAATTACCTAAATTTTGGTTACGTATTCCAGAACTAGATAGCATTTTTGAGCTCTATAATAAATGCTTTTTGAGCTCTATAATAAATTCTGGATTAGCCACAAATGAACATAGACAAACCAATATTAAGAGAAGCTGGATTGCCTGTGTCTTAGAACTCTATTTAGTCTTTATGGGCATGGTGCCTGACTCATGGATGGTGCTTAAATGCTTGCCAAGCTGAATTGCAAAGGATACCACGTTTAATTAGATTTTTTCCTTTAAGCTGACAATGGCACTATGCATCTTTGGGATTGGAGAACTGGATACAATTTCCAGAGAGTTCATGCAGCTGTGCAGCCTGGATCTTTGGACAGTGAATCAGGAATATTTGCTTGTGCTTTTGATCAGTCTGAAAGTCGGTTACTAACAGCTGAAGCTGATAAAACCATTAAAGTGTATAAAGAAGACGATACAGCGGTAAGTTTACTATTTCACATATATTTTGAAGTAAAGTAAGTCAACCATACCAATTTTGCAAGTACTTTCTCATTTTAAAGTTATTGAAATTATCAGAAAGGAAAATGATCTTCATAGTATTAAGGTATTTGTCATCTTTTTTTTTCTTTTTTTAATTTTTATTTATTTATTTATTTATTTTTATAAACATAGAATATATTTTTATCCCCAGGGGTACAGGTCTGTGAATCGCCAGGTTTACACACTTCACAGCACTCACCATAGCACATACCCTCCCCAATGTCCATAACCCCACCCCCCCCCCAATCCCCTCCCCCCATCAACCCTCAGTTTGTTTTGTGAGATTAAGAGTCACTTATGGTTTGTCTCCCTCCCAATCCCATCTTGTGGTATTTGTCATCTTGAATAATGTCTGCTCATAGATTTCTGTATTGGTTTTGTTGATGCCAATGAATCCATAGATTGTTTTAATTTTATCTTTACTACAATTACTCAGGAAAATCTTACATCAAGAATAACCACAAACAAATAAATTGCTATGCAAATTAACTTTAAAATCATAAGCTTTGGTATTACTAGAATACCTAAATAGTAATTTTATTAGACTTGAAAAATCATGAACTGAATTTTTAGTGAACCCATTCATTCTTTATTAGGTTCAGATGATGCAAAAGTTTGTTAGCTATTCCTAAAATTGTTAAAGAACTTCTAAAAATGCAATGCCAATCAATATAATATATAAACCAATATAATAATATAAGAATAGATGCCTTATTTTTGTTAGGAAGAGAGTTTTAATATAAAGCAAATTAATAATACTTTGTTTTAACTTCTTTAATTTTCTGTTTCCAGACAGAAGAAACTCATCCAGTCAGCTGGAAGCCAGAAATTATCAAGAGAAAGAGATTTTAATATGGCATTATCTTCATGGTGGCTCCTTTTTTTTTTTTCTAACTTCGTGTTGATGAGAATATCCAGTCATTTTTTGCTCTGGCTAGGAATATAAAGCAGAAACTCACATGCTTAAATGATTCCTGTTTCGTATTTTATAATAAACTGCCCCCCCATGTTGTTATTTCCAAAATAAATAGAGATCCTAGGAAGTAAGATGCAGATATCAAGCCTATGTAGGTTTGTTGAACATGACTGTTCTAAAAGTAGAATTGTCAGTTTTATTAAAAGACCTTTTTAAAAAAAACTTAAACTGCTTACCATAATAAGGACTTGTTTCAAGGGGAGCAGTTGCATTGGGGGGGGGGCTTTGTTTTTGTTTTCGATTTAGTCCTTTAAGAACTAGTATCTGACTAATAATTGGAGATTAAAGGATTAGAAGTCTTACTTATGTATGTTTATTCCACAAATAGTTTTTTGAGTGCATGTTCTACAAAGTTCTGCACTGAATGCTGTTCAGGGGACAGCCAAGTAAGATGTATGTCTTCCATCACCCTAGTTAGCTTATTACAGAAGTGCTATAATAGAGATAGTAGTGCGGGAAAAGACCATCACTTTTTCCCAGAGAGCATTGTGGAAGACTTCATAGAGTCTGGGTATTTGAGCTGAGACTTGAGAGGGCAGAGAGGGAAACTGGTATCCTAGGATGAGGCATACAGTGAATGAAACCACACCTGTGAAACAGGGTGTGTTCTAGGAGCAAAGAATTGTCGGCTGCTGTTGAGTAATGAGTACAGCTGGTTGGTGGTAGAGAAAGCTCGTTTGGAGTTTGGATTTTATTCTACAAGCAGTAGGATACCAATAGAGGTATCAAAACCTGGACGAATTAATGAGATACCAGTGGAGGTATTGGAAGCTGTGGCAAGCAAGGGCTGCAGTCTTTTTGAAGACTTTCTGGAAAAGTGTTATTTAAGTTGCTGATACCTATTCCTTATGGTAAATAGGAGTTTTCAAAGCCCTGCCCTTAGGATCCTAATTCCCCATCAGTCAAGAAACTGTGTCCACTTTCACTTTCTGTAGTTAGAAAACACAGTTACAAGAACAATTGATACAGATTTTTATTCAAATTTAAAAATGCACCATAATTTTGAACAAGCATTTCTAAATTATACATACCCATCTTGCATGCTGTAGGTGGGAGTATAATTTTATAATCTGTAGGAGGGTTGTTTTTCAGAGTATATTGAAAATGCTCAAAGCGTTTGGCTAATTCTTCATTAAAGATATTAGGAAACTGCCCAGTATGAATAATCTGACAAGTGTACACAAGCAAGTTTACTGCACCTTTATTCTTTAATTATTAAAACTAGCTCAGATGTCCTATCAGTAAGGGATGGTTTAATAGATAAGGTACATTCATGCAATTTATTTCTCTCCATTAAAAGTGAGGAATGTCTCTGGATTTATAATAAGGTGTCCAAACTTTGCTCTTAGGTAAAAGTTGTGGAAGCATTTTTTTGTAGATTAACTTGTTAATGCTTTAAAAAATAATGGGATAATAATCCCACATTGTTAGCAGTGGCTTTGTGAGGGAGTAAAATTGTGGGAGAACTTTCATGATTGGCTTTATATATTTCTATAATGTTTTAATTTTCTATAAGCATGTATTTTGTAAGCTTAAATAAAGAAATCCACTACACTTGCATCCCTGAAAAATTCTCATATGCCTTCTAACAGGAGAAAAATAGAGCTGAAATAGGTTCCCATCCCTAAAGGCCAAAAAGAAATTCACTGCTAGTACAAGGAGGTGAAAAAGATAGCTTTTACTATCCTGCCTAGCAAAGCTTCAACTGTTGTTTATTATGCACTAGAATCAGATTCTGAATAGCATTTAAGAAATCCATTTCCCTGCTTCATGCTATCTTGTATTACGGTGTTCTCAGATTCTCTTGAAAAAATTGCATCTACCATGTGTTCATGAACCCTGTGGAATTTTAGGCAGAATTTCATGCATGTGCTCTTTTTTTTTGCCCACTTGATAGAACCCCCAATTCAGGATAAGCCCAAGTCTCTTACTGTGCCTGTCTTATGTGCACCCACGCTGTAGAATGTTACCAGAGGAAACCAGTTGTGCTAACTGGACTCATTGTTTATTTATGACCACATACCTCAAGTGGGCCATTAACAGTGACCACACAGACATTTGTATAATTCATGTCTTCTGCCTCCTGTTGCAAAGGATGAACTCTAACCCACCTAAAAACAATTCCAAATGTATAGTATCATTAGACTTAACATTCCCTTCTAAGTATGCACTTAACTCTATTCCTTTTATAGCCAAACTCCCTGAATTTTCTTAACTTCCTATGTTCCTCACTTCCCATTCTCTAAACTGACTCCAGTCCAAAAATAGTCAAAAGTGTTTAAACATTGTTCTTAGAGAAATGGAAGAAATTTAAGTAGTATGAAGTTGATAGGAAATAATGAAATAGAAAAGATACAGAGTAAGCCTGAATGGTGATTTTTTTTTTTTTTTTTTTTTTTGGTACAAAAAGTAGAAATTAGATAAACCAATCAAGAAACAAATACAAGGGGCGCCTGGGTGGCTCAGTGGGTTAAAGCCTCTGCCTTCGGCTCAGGTCATGATCTCAGGGTCCTGGGATCGAGCCCTGCATCGGGCTCTCTGCTCCGCGGGGAGCCTGCTTCCTCCTCTCTCTCTGCCTGCCTCTCTGCCTACTTGTGATTTCTCTCTGTCAAATAAATAAAATCTTCAAAAAAAAAAAAAAAAAGCAAATACAAGAATCATAAATACCCTAACAAAAACAAAAGGGGGAGAGATAATTGTGTCCAATTCCATGCTATATTTAAAAAGCAAAATAAAGTGGTTAATTTTAAAGAGAAATATATGGCAGATTCCAGAAGATACAGAAAACCTAAATAGGTTAAGTATCCTAGATGAAATAGTTCATAGAGGAATTAACCCCTACCACCTACCCACATCACTAAGTGCATTAAACTTCAAAGTGGAATTCTAATTTCAATGCACTATAAGTTTTTATAGGATCTAGATAAAGCTTTTATGTGTTTTAAAATGTGAGTATATAAAAAATATCCAAGTCCAATGATGCACAAATGAAATTATTTTATCTTGCATGTGAATATTGATGGGAAATCCTTACTAAAGCAAAGAATCAAGTATCACTCATCCAAGTGAAGTTTGAAAGTGCAAGGAAGTTTCATAATTAGCAAGTAATATTCATATTATGGTGAATATAGAAAAACATCTTTATGATACAGGGGCATTTCAGTATAACTTGAAATGCATACTTCATTAAATAGAAACAGAACCTATTACTGTAGGAACAGATGGGTATTTTTAAAAACTTGATTAAATACAACTATGCTGCGACAGGTTGTTGATTGGGAAATACTTGGGATATTCCTATTAATACCAGAAACAAGACAGAGATGTGCACATCAGTGTCTAGCTTTTTAGAGAAGATTTCTGGACTTCTCTAACTTTTCTGGAAGTCTTTGAGATGATGTAGAGGTATAATAATTGGAAAGCAGGGAAATAACATCATTGTTGGCAGATAATTTGATTATACACTTGGAAAACTTAATAAGAGAACTGAAAGACTTAAAAAAGAATAGGCATATTGAGTAAGAGCTTGGTACAGAACTGAGAACTCAGAAATCAATAAGCAGTAAGAGCTAATGAAAAAATAAAAAACCCTCATATGAGGGACGCCTGGGTGGCTCAGTTGGTTAAGCGGCTGCCTTCGGCTCAGGTCATGATCCCAGCGTCCTGGGATCGAGTCCCACATCGGGCTCCTTGCTCATCAGGGAGCCTGCTTCTCCCTCTGCCTCTGCCTGCCATTCTGTCTGTCTGTGCTTGCTCTCTCTCCCTCTCTCTCTCTCTGACAAATAAATAAAATCTTTAAAAAAAAAACAAAAAACCCTCATATGAAATGACCAAAAGACTTGGAATAAAATTGAAGTGTGCAAGTCCTGTCAGGAGAGACTTTCAAAATCCTTCTTTAGGGATAGAAAAGAAGCCTTGGTTAAATAAAAAGCATATTACAGTCCTGGGTTAGAAACTTCATGCTGTCATTTTCCTTGAAATTCTATTAATCCCAATAAAATTACCTATTGTATTTTTTTTAGAATTGGACAAGCTGATTTTTAGTTCTTACAGAAAATTTTTAAAAAGCAGCAACACCAAAGATAATCTTGAAAACACAAAAAGGGGGGAGGGAACTAATGTGGTATTGCTACATGATCAATGAAATGGAGTAGGGTCCAGAAAAGACCCAAATACAAATGATAATTATGTGTATGAGTAAGGTAGCCTAACATAAGATGTTCAATCATACTTAAACCCAAATTTAAAACTACAGTAAAAGCTACAGTATTCACCAATAAGGATGTCAAAGTTTAAAAAAAAAAAAGTGATAGTAATATACGTAGAGGTGGTGTAGGAAATAATTTTTTCTATTGCGCTGGTCCAGGAAATGCATAGGTGAGATTTTGTATTAGCAATACTTCTTAAAATCACACGTTTTAACCCAGAAATTCTAGTTCTAATGTGCTTGAGTTTGTGAGAAATGTGTATTCATTGTTTACAATAGAAAAATATTGAAAGACACAGGATTACAGACTTCAAGCTAAAGAAGAGACGTAGATCTGAGAAAGTCATAGTCTTATGTTAATGATGCCTTGCATGTTTACATTTTACACAAAGCTGTCTTGTCTGTGATTACGTATGATCCCTTAAGACTTTGAGAAGTAAGTTGGACTAATATTCCCATTTTACAGTTGCAGAATCAGCCTAGTGGGCTCTCAAAGCATGATAACAGGGAGCCAGTGTGAGAGCACAGGGTTTATATTTTGTTTTAAATCTCTGCTCCATTTCTCTTGCTAGGAAATGACACTGTCTTATAATTTCTTAATAATTTCCATAAGAGTTGACTTTCCATTGATTTAAAGGGCACTTTAGGGGAAGAGTAAAGCAAATATTTATGTTTCTCCTGAACTGACAGCATTCTTAGCTTAAAGC